AGCATCACCCGAACTAGTTGGCGGGCCCATCCTCGTCGCCTGAGGAGCTCGCACCATCCTTTTGTTGACTTTCTTATCCTGTGTCAACTTTAGAAGCCTCTCCTTTCATCCGGCCATATGACCAGCAAAAAAGAAAACCCGGGTTAATTACGAGCAAGTAACAAACGAAGAAACTGGAACAAAACTATGAGACAAAAAGTAACCTAGCTACCCGTAGAACTGGCACTCGACAAGCGCCTTGGTATCTATAGGACGGGCCTCGAAGGTCGGGTAATCGTCCTCGTCAAGAATGTCTTTCCCCTCCCTCGTAGCCCACCGAACAGGGAAGAAACTGTCGACGTATCTGCAAAGGGTACCGTAGGCTTCCTCGTCCTCGGTGCTCATCCCTCCCGCGGGCGTATGGTAATGCCCGGTACCATGCTCATAGTGGTGTGAGCTCCAATGCAATGGAAACTTAGCTACGCGCCCCAACACCGGGCGACCCTCATCGTCCATAAGAGGCTCCTCGTTATCGTCGGTCACTGCAGTCTCTTCTTCATATACAGAATCCAGAGCAGTCTGGGTGATAGGCCGCACGACATACCATTTGTCCTTGAAACCCCGGACAGAATCCATGTACATCCTGAACAGCCTCTTCGACTGTTTCAGGGAAACCCAACTGTGCCTACCTCCCCGAGACTGGCGTTGCAAATGAAAGACTCTGAAGAAGAGCGGGATGGTCGCCCCAATCCTTAAAAAGCGACACGTCAGCTCGAACGCCCGAAGAAAGGCAATCGAGTTGGGGTGAAGCTGCGAGAGGGCCAACTCCAAATGACTGAATACCCCGACCTGGAAATCACTAAAGGGGAGCTTGAGACCAAGGTCCTTGAACGCAATTTCATACATGGGAAACCCATACTCAGAGAACTCCGAGCATATCCGCGCGTTAAGAGACGGTCTGGTGACCACGAAGTTTTTCTGGAAGCCCGGCTGACTACCGCAGTGCTCGATGATAGTGTAGGTGCTCCGACTGTGCCGACTATATGCCGAGGCAATCCCTCTGGGCTCGGCGCCCACCCAATCCAGCAAAGGGTCATCAACGGTATCAATCAGTTACATTTTCCTCGGCACTCTGGTCTTCGACCTCGTGGTGCCCCGAGGACTCCGGTTCATCAGCCATTTTACCTACAAAGCACAGGAAACCGGTCAATTCGGGAGCAAATCCATACGCTCGCCATAACTGACGGGAAGAAGGGCACGACAAGCCAAGTCATACTCCGCACACGCCAAAACGTTGAGGACTCGAACAAGAAGGTGTCGCGACGAGTCGTCCTACATACTGCCTAAATGGGCCAACATCCCGGCCAGTCATGAGTATGTCGACCTAAACTATGGATATGACGAGCAATATCATGAATCCTAAACCTAGAACTATGGGTTTACCGGGCAATATCATAAGTTATGCGCCCAAAACCATGAAGATCCCGGGCAGCATCGTAAGACACATACCTAAAGCTATGCGTTCACCGGGCACAAACATGCGTTTACCGAGCAAAAACATGAACATACCGGGCATGAACACGAATTTATCGGGCACTAATCCCATAAGCGAATTTCTAACGTACAAATAACGGAAAAAATCACCTACCACAGGGGAAAATATGAGGGATGAAACACTTACTTAGAAGTTAAGAAGGATGTATGACGGCAGGGAAGAAAATCGACGGCGGAAAGCACGGTGATCCTATGAAATTCTGGAAAAACAGCGGCGGCAAAGACAGAGGGAGAAGGAGAAGCGTGAAGAGGAAAAACAGATTATGGGACCCAATGATCCTATTTATAGGGATGACGTGGAATACAAAACGTCACCCCGGGGAACCACGAGCTTCCCCTCCTCGACGCCTACTCCCCTAGGCAATAATGACTCTACTTTCACTAGGGTGGCGTCACGGTTCCCAAGGGTTGCCTCGTATGCTCAACGAACACAGCCCGCAAAGAGCCTCCCCGAGCACGTCTCGAAAGAGATTATCTCACGAACGCAACACAGGAGAAACTCCTCGAGCAACCGCGGGGAAGCAAATATCATGGCCGAGCATAAGGTCCCGTGACGAAGACGAGCCGAGATCAAGTCATAACTCCTGCTCCAGGAGCCACGACTTGGGGGGCTCCTGTTCTGGACTGGGCCCGTCCTAGCCCAAGAGCAAGAACGAAGGCTCAATCCAAGCAGCTCTTCAAGAAGCGCGTGCCCGAAGATTCCCTTCAGCGTGTCGACCAGAAGCTGCAACCGTGCCCGCCACTGCCCGCAAACATGACGTCCCCGACCACATGAAATCCAACTCGAGCCCAGCTCGAGCACCCTCCTCGTAGGGCAGACTATGACCGTTACTCCATCACCTGAACTCCAGAAAGACCGCGTCCTCGTCCCTCCGTACTTCTCGCAGAGCATCACCAGGAAGGGGACCAAGTGCGGGTCCCCACTACACACGTAGAACCTGGCAGTCCCTTTATTGGGCCAGTCTTGGTCGGCCCAATGAAAGGACTTTGGCCCCGCGCTGGGGGCTATAAATATTCTCTATTCTTAGAGGGTCAGGTATTCATTCTTTTACCATACACACACTTTTTGCCTGCTCGTACCATCACTCACTTTAGCATCGGAGTGCCTTGCAGGTACCCCCACCTCGTTCAACTTTCGCTCAGAGTCAGTCGTGACGGTCCAAGTCTGATCCGGTAAGATCAGTAAGGCATAGGTTTTTTTTAAAACTTTTTTAGAAACATTAATGATGTATTGAACAAATGTCTTTTTTCTATTATTGTTTACAAGATTAAGAATGGAAAAAATACTTTGTTACCCATTCTTCTATACGATAATTATGAATTTAGGTATAAGTTAGTGATTTTGAGGAGGGGTAGTGGAACTGTTTTGAGCTAGATTGGTATATAAATTATAGGTACAGTGTTTAATCTCTCACAACATCATTTTTTATGTACTAATATGGAAGCAACTTGTTGATAATTATAAATAACAACTTAAAAAAAGTGATTTTAAACTAATTGAACCTTTGCAAGAATGATATGTAACAGAAAATTTAGGTAGAAGAATTTTTTACCGACTTGAGAAATGATGTTGTCATGTTCTCTTTGTTTTTAACCAAACAAACATCCTTCCATATGTATTTCAAGTAAATTTAACATTATTCTCGATTGTGCATACCTAGAATGTGAATATATTTTTTTAATTTCGATAGAGTCTAAGACAATACTGATGAATCTAAATATCTAATACAATAGAAAATCCTTTATACTACCTCCCCACCTTTGCACTTATTGGAACCACGTTGATTTTATCGTCCTTTGGGGTGTACGAACTACATTGATTTTATCCTATAAATGAGCTTCCAAACATTCATTAAAAGGCTCTACAAACTACATCTACCTTCCCTTCATGTTCGTTTTCCTTAAACCTATTATGTCTTATTGGAGTGAAGAAGAAATTTGTTTAGTTCTAGCACTATGTTTTCTAGTATTCCTTGCACTAAGGCAATGGAAATCTTTCAAATGTCTCTTGTGTAAAGCTATCACTACAATTTCATCTTCAAATTCAAATTCACCTACACCCCCTGTAAATCTTCACGAAGGTCAATTTCAAGATGAATCCATTTCACAAAACTTTTCACCACAATTTCAAGGTAGTGAATTGGAATTATCAATTATAAACTCTCTTCCTGTGTATCAATTAAATAAAGAAGATATACAAGAGAGTCTAATTGATGTCGAGTGTGCTATTTGTTTGGGGGAATTTGAAGAAGGAGAATGGTTAAAACTTGTTCCTAATTGTAACCATGGTTTCCATGTTTCGTGCATTGATAAGTGGTTTCAATTGCATTCAAGTTGTCCATTATGTAGATCTCGGATCTATCGTATACTAGTTGCAAATCATGAGTGTTCTGAGTCGATAAACACGGCTAGAAATTTTGGGGATGGATGACATTACTCCTGAAAGGAATGCCAATTTCTAAACATATTCACTATCTCCGAAACTACTATCAACCAATAGAAAACAATGTTAGGAAGGTTAAGAAATTATGTTAGGGGGCATCTTTAATGGTCATTTCTAATAGAACCAAAAGTCAAATGTTTAAACTCAATAGCTACATAATGGACTGATTTGGTGAAATTTTTCCTATCTAGAGACAATAATTTACGTTTGGATATTTAAAAGTAAGTTTTCAATGGAAAAATCATCTTACGTTTAAACTCAACAGCTACAAATGATAGCTTCAAGTAGAATCAATTTTGAAAGTAGAATCAATTTTATTTTAGAAGAATTAAACACCTCAAAATCATATCAAATCAATTTTAAATCTCTAAATTGATTTTAACTCTTTCAAAACTAACCCAAACATACACCAAGAGCTAAGAACAAAATATCATAATTTCGTGCATAAACTTTTCTACATATATTCAAATTAAGCTGCAGACACCTCTTATAGTGGATTTGAAAGTAACAGTACTATGCAAAATGGAAAATTCAGCATATGCTAGGTAGGGAACATAAACTACGATTTAAATTTGGTCAAAAGATTTGAGATACAATGACTTCAACTTGATCTTAACAAAATCAAAATATTAACTTTATGATTTATTGTTCAAACTAAGATTATCTGTTGTTTTAAAAATCACTCTGCAGCATGTTCTATATCGGAGATAGATCATCCATAGATAGTTTTTTAACTTCTGACAGTCGATCAACATGGTTTTGATGCTACAACCGTGATATTTCTTTTAACATAGTACATTCTTTCATTGAAAATATTGCCACCAAATCTAAGAACAAACTTCAGATCAAACTTACTGTCAAATTTAAAATTGTAAACAACAAAATTTAATTGCAATTGAACTAAGATACACAAATAACAAAACATAAAATCCAGAATTTAACTTTGATTCAAAATGTCTCCAACAATTACCAAAATAAGTCTAAAACCTAAATAAAAATTGTCTTGATACAACCCTCCATTACCTTAGATAATACCAATCTTGTTTGCTACATCCAAAGCATCGTAATCAGGTGTCAACCTAACATAAGCTTTCTTGGTGCCATCGGGCCTACAACAGAACAGTTCAAATTTAGAACAAACACTAAATGTGAGTTTGGTTGCAAACTTGATGTGAAAATGGTGAAGCTACAAAACTTAGCTTCTGTGTAAAGTTGGAAACCTACTGCAATTCCATAATATCCAATGCTAAACCAAACGAATGTTAAATATTTTAAGTATGCAAACAATCTTCTTTTCAATAATGTGGTTTCATCTCATTTAAGTTTAGATTAACATGTTAACTTTGCATCGAGATATAATACATATCTTGCATTGAGATATAATACACAATACATATTAGTATTAATTAATAGTAAATGTAACATTCAAGCCATGAGACAAAAAAACAGTGTTGTTTGCAGACAATAACATTCAATAAGCCAAAAGCAATCATGAGTTACTAGACAATTAACAAAAGAATAACTGCACAAGGGCTCACTGACCTGATCAAAGTGTTAACTTTCTTGGCCTGGATGTCATACATTTTCTTCACGGCATCCTTGATTTTCTTCTTGTCAGCACGCAAGTCAACAATGAAAACCAATGTGTTGTTGTCTTCAATCTTCTTCATAGCAGACTCAGTAGTGAGTGGAAACTTCAAAATCTGATAATGATCAAGCTTATTCCTTGGTGTAGCACTGATGCGAGGATATTTAGGGTTCCGGTCTTTCGACAAAGTCTTTGGCCTGTGAAATGTAACAGTTGTCCTGATCTTCTTTGCCTTCTTCTTAATGGCGGTCCCTGATTTCACTGCCTTAGCAGCTTTCAAGGCCTGTGCCTTTGGATCAGTCTTCTTCGAAACATCACCTGCAACAAAATGTGACATTACAACAACAAATCTAAACGCCAGTAACTGAACACATGAGAAAATCTTATGTTAAGAATGAAATAATTGATTTCATAAATTACATAACAACAACAATCAATCAAGCATTAACCAATTTTCACAAATATATCATTACAGTGAAGATAAATTTGTAGCGGCACTAAGTAATTGCATTAGGACGAAATTGGGGATTGATGAAAATACCTTTAGGAGCCATTGATGGCGAAAAAACCCTAGTTTGAATCTGAACTGAAACCTGAAAAGAGAAAAAGAAAAAAAAAAGTAAATATAGTGTAGGGTTTTCAGAGAAAACGAAGATAACAAGATTCAGGAGAAGAGCAAAACCTGGGTGATGGAAGCAGACAGTATGAAAATTAGGGTTTTCGGTGTTATATGCGCTCTACCTGTGAAATGGGCTGATTCGTTTAAAAATGGGTCAGGCCCATTCTATAACCAAGAAGATTATATAGCCCCATCCCCTACCATTATCCCCACCTCCTACTTTTTTCAAATATTCCAATTTACTTTTTTTTTACTTATCAAATAATTTTGCTATTTAATTTTTACCATTATAATTAAAATTTTCAAAATTTAAGCATATCACACCTCATCATTGTGTACGAAAAAATGTTACCCAAGGTATTTTGGTACGTATTTTTTCCATTATCGAATAACTTGCATGCAAGTATTTCGGTAATGTTATATCTATTACATGATGAAAATAATTCTGTTTAGTTTGTTACTAAACAGTTTGTTATTTTTCTGTTTAGTTAATTATTAAACAGTTGGTTACAGTTTGTTACTCAAACAGTATATATAATACTGTTCTGTACTCTCTAAAACAATGAATAATACAATCTTTTTATTCCAAAATTAACATGGTATCAGTTTGAATTTCCTTTTCCGCGCCTTTCTTCTTCGCGCCTTCTTCTTCTTCGCGCCTTCGCGCTTCCTTCTTCCCTTGCTGCTTCAGCTTGTTATGGCGCTTCCTTACTCTGATTTTGCTACCAATCCTTCCAATCCTTACTACATGCACCCTAATGAGAATCTCTCTTTTGTTCTTGTTCAACCTGTTCTTGATACCAAGAATTACCAGATCTGGTCTAGATCAATGAAAGTGGCTCTTATCTCCAAGAACAAGATCAAGTTCGTTGATGGCACTCTTTCTCCTCCCCTACCTCCGACTCCCTATACGAACCTTGGTTGCGATGCAACAATCTCGTCCTCTCATGGCTTCAACGCTCGATTTCTGAGGAAATTGCAAAATCTCTCCTCTGGTATGATCGTGCTTCTCTAGTATGGAAAAGTTTGGAAAATCGTTTTTCTCAGGGAGATATTTTTCGCATTGCTGACATTCAAGAAACTGTTGCTCGTCTTCAACAAGGAACTCTCGATGTCTCTTCGTTCTTCACGAAATTGATGACGCTTTGGGAAGAAATTGAGAACTTCCGGCCAATTCGTGATTGTACTTGCGCTATACCGTGCTCCTGTGGTGCTGCTTCAGACTTACGCAAATTCAAAGAACAAGATAAAGTTATCAAGTTCTTGAAGGGCCTTGGTGACCAATATGCTCATGTTCGCTCGCAGATTATGCTGATGAAACCACTACCAACTCTTGATAATGTGTTTAATCTGGTTCTTCAACAAGAACGTCAATTCGACCTCCTTTCACCTTCTGCTTCTTCGATTGAGTCTCAATCATCTGTGAATCACCTTTCTCAAGCACCTTCTCGTTCTTCGATCAACCCTGGTCGTGGTCGTGGTCGTGGTGGCCGTGGAAACAGACTTTGTACTCATTGCAACCGCACCAATCACACCATTGAGACTTGCTTCTTGAAACATGGTTATCCCCCTGGATTTCAACAACGCAAGCCTACTACATCTGTGGGAAATTCTGCTGATTCTACAGTGAACCCGATTCAAGATGCTGCTTCCACATCAAACACCAGTCCAAGTGCTCTGTCAACGATTCAAGAGCAATACACTCAGATTCTGCAGCTCCTCCAACAATCTAATTTGCAATCTCCTTCACCTCCCTCGATTAATCCAGTTTATACTGCTAATTTTGTGTCCCATACCTCTCCTCATACTTCCTCTGGTAAGAATTCCTCAAATCTTCCTTGTCATAACCGGTGGATCATTGACACAGGTGCCACTGATCACATCACCCATATCTTTGCCAGTTTCCTTTCCACATACCACATTGCACCTAAATCTATGACAATGCCTAATGGTGACTCTGTCACCACTACTATTGCTGGTTCAGTTTTACTATGTGATTCACTTGTCCTTCACAATATTTATTACTTTCCTTCATTTCATGTCAATATTATCTCTGTCACCACTCTTTTTGACTCCGCCTTATATGATGTGAAATTTTCTCCTAATTGCTGTCACATTATGCAGTTGTCCCAATCCAAGATGACTGGATTTACAGCTAGGAGGATTGGCAAATTGTATGTTCTTGATGCCACCCCACCTAAGGATATCTCTCCCATATCTGGATCTGTCAACACCTCCTCTTCTCCCCAATTAGAACCTGCTAAACACGATCCTGCTACTATTTGGCATCTTAGGCTTGGACACTTAAGTCCCTACATACACAAATGTATTTCCTCTCAATTTCCTTTTGTCACCTACAATGACAATCATAAGACCTGTAACACTTGCCATTTGGCTAAGCAAAAACATTTGCCCTTTACTCACAGTAATACTAAGTCTGTTGCCATCTTCGATTTCCTTCATGTTGATATTTGGGGCCCTCTTTCCACACCTTCGATATGTGGCCACAAGTATTTTTTAACCCTCGTAGACGATTACAGCAGGTTTACTTGGACAATTTTTATGGCAAACAAAAGTGAAACCAGAAACCATTTAATTCACTTCATATCCTTTATCGAAACCCAATTTAACAAGAAACTCAAGTGCATTCGAAGTGATAATGGTCCTGAGTTTCTCATGACCACTTTCTACCTTCCTAAAGGAATCATTCGTCAAAGGTCTTGTGTGGAAACGCCTCAACAGAATGGTACTGTGGAAAGAAAACATCAACACATTTTGAATGTTGCTCGTGCCCTCTGTTTCCACTCTCACCTCCCTCACAACCTTTGGCACCTTTCCATACAACATGCCATTCATATTATAAACCGTCTTCCCACTCCTCTTTTAAACAACCACTCTCCATACCAAAACTCCATTCTACTCCTCCCAGCCTTAGCCATATGAGAGTCTTTAGTTGTCTTGCCTATTCTTCGACCTTGCTTAACCATCGCACTAAATTCGAACCAAGAGCAAGGAAATCTATTTTTCTTGGCTACAGGGAAGGCACAAAAGGCTACCTTCTCTATGATCCTATCACAGATGAATTTTACATTTCAAGGAATGTATTCTTTTATGAAACTGTGTTCCCTTTTGCATCCATCCCACCTGCACCTAATCCTATAATTCCTACTCCTGACCCTCCTTCGATTGATTCACCTGATATTTTCACCAACATTCCACCCAACTTACCTCCACCATCAAATGAACCTTCCTCTCCTACCTCTCTCCCCCAGCCAGAATCTCCCACTAACCTCCCTTCTTCCTCGAATGACACTAACAACTCCCCTTGCCCCTCCCCTCCTGTGCCAACCAGAAAATCCAATCGAAATATTAAACCTCCAGTTTATCTATCTGATTATCACTGCAATTTGCTATCCCCTATGCTGCCAGCATCTGAATCAGGTTCCCCTAACTACCCTCTCTCTTCTGTATTATCTTATAGCCAATGTAGTCCTGATCACAAATTATTTTGTCTATCCATAAGCTCTTTCACAGAACCAAAAACCTATAAACAAGCCTGCAAGTTTGATTGTTGGAACAATGCTATGAAATCTGAGTTAGATGCTCTTGAATCTACAAATACTTGGTTTGTTGTTGATTTGCCTGCAGGCAAACAATCGATTGGTTGCAAATGGGTCTACAAAATCAAGCATCATGTTGATGGATCCATCGAACGATACAAGGCCCGTTTGGTAGCAAAAGGATATACTCAGCTGGAGGGGGTGGATTATTTCGACACTTTCTCACCTGTTGCGAAGCTTACTTCTATTCGAACCCTTCTCTCAGTGGCTGCCATTAAGAATTGGCACTTGGAACAACTCAACGTCAACAATGCCTTCCTTCATGGTGATCTACATAAGGAAGTGTATATGGATCTGCCTCCTGGATTCCTGCCCCCTGCTTCTTCGACCAACGAAGTCTGCACTCCTTCGACCAACAAAGTTTGCACTTCTTCTGCTTCTTCGACCAACGAAGTTTGCACTTCTTCGACCAACGAAGTTTGCACTTCTTCGACCAACAAAGTTTGCACTTCTTCGATCAACGAAGTTAGCACTTCTTCGATCAACGAAGTTAGCACTTCTTCGACCAACGAAGTTTGCACTCCTTCGACCAACAAAGTTTGCAAATTACATAAGTCATTACATGGCCTGAAGCAGGCTAGCAGACAGTGGTTTTCGAAATTGTCCACTGCCCTTATCTCTCTTGGCTACTCATATTCTTTTGCTGATTATTCTTTTTTTACCAAATCACATGACTCTTCCTTTACTGCCTTATTAGTCTATGTTGATGATATTGTCTTAGCCGGTAATAATTTGCAGGAAATCAAATATGTCAAATGCTTCCTTGATTCCACTTTCAAAATCAAGGACCTTGGTAGGCTTAAATATTTTCTTGGTCTAGAAGTTTCCAGGTCAACTCACGACATTTTTCTCAATCAGAGAAAGTACGCTTTGGAATTGCTCGAAGACAGTGGCTTATTGGCTACTAAACCTAGCTCTACTCCCTTCGATTCCTCCTTAAAGCTTCACGATGATAACTCACCACCTTTCAAAGACGTCATAACTTATCGAAGGCTTGTTGGAAAACTTTTATATCTAACCACCACCAGACCTGACCTTGCATTCATCGTTCAACAGCTTAGCCAATTCATCTCACAACCTATGCAAGTTCATCATTCTGCAACAATTCGAGTACTCAAGTATCTCAAAGGTGCTCCTGCCAAGGGTTTGTTCTATTCATCTTCCTCTCAACCCAAACTCTCTGGCTTCGCAGACTCAGATTGGGCAAGTTGCCCTGCTACCCGCAGATCCGTAACTGGATATTGTGTGTTCCTTGGCAATTCCCTCATATCCTGGAAATCCAAAAAGCAGTCTACAGTATCTAAATCAAGTTCAGAAGCGGAATACAGGGCCTTGGCAAGCTTGACTTGTGAATTGCAATGGCTGCAATATTTGTTCAAGGATCTCCACATCTCCTTTGATCAACCTATCTCAGTCTATTGTGACAACAAAAGTGCTATCTACCTTGCTCACAACCCCACCTTCCATGAACGAACAAAACATATCGAAATTGCCTGCCACGTCATTCGTGAGAAAATCCAAACTGGTCTCATCCATCTTTTACCAGTTTCTTCTGTTGCTCAATTGGCAGATGTTCTCACCAAGCCTTTGGCAGCTCCCTCATTCGATTCTCTTGTTTCCAAGTTTGGTCTATTAGATATCCATAGTCCAGCTTGTGGGGGGCTATTA